AAAAAACAAAAAAAGGAAAGCACGCAGAGCACAGCAGTGCAGCTGCATGCTGCATGTGCTCTAGAGGATCCCCAACGCTGCCTCCGCGGCCCGTGGCGTGCACCAGAGAGAGAGAGAGAGGTCGAGTCCGCGTGGCTCAGGCCGGCCAGAAGGTGTGTGGCGACGGCACCGTGGCAGGAGTGCGGAGAAGAGCTCGCCGAACGCGAGCAGCGGAAGGCCGAAGTGTGCCAGCGCAAGAGCCTCGCGAACGGGTGCAGAAGGAGCTCGCCGTGACACGATGCCGGGCGGTGGTGGTGCTCTGGCGGCTGTGCACAGTGGGAAACGTCAGGCTGCAACAGGGCAGCACGATGGTCGTGCCCCGCTGCAGCCTGGCCTGACATGCACAGGGCGAACAGAGACGGGACTATCGCCTGGCGCTCGTCTGGGCAAACTTTGACCGCCGCCCGGCTCGCCACGAGCACGCAGCGACAAAATGATGACCGTGTCGAAGTTGAGGCTGGTCGAGAGGAAGAGGCTGCCGTGCGAGCCGGCAACTGGCTGGCTCGGCGTGGACAGCCGGCGGCGACTTTTCGCCGAAGAGCGTGCCTGCCGAAGAGCGAGTCTGACTCAAAGTGCACGGAGTGGGCGCCGCCGACCGTCGGGAGGAGTCCGATGGGTGCCAGGACGATCCAGAGAGCGATGAAGGCGCAAATTGCGCCGCCGAAAGTGGCGGTAGAGGCCAGGCCGTGCGCGTGGGCCGGTCGGGCCACTTCCGGGGCGAGCGATCGAGGGCCGCCGGGCTCGCCCCGTCGGCCGAGCGGTGCGAACGGCCAGTCGCCCGCTTCGGGTTGGACCCGCCGGGCGGTCCGGCGGCGGATTGCATGGCCGGGCGGGCCTCCGGGAGGCAGCCGGGGCTGCGACAGGGGCAGGGCAGAAAATCCCATTCGGAGAGCGTGTAGCGCGACCCGGTTGCTATACTTTCAATGACTAGGAGAGCGCAACGTACCGGCAGCTGACAGGGTGAGACAACGACGGGATGCGATCCGAGAAGCCGAGAGGGACCAAGAGGCCGCGGTGGCGGGCGAGAAGGCGATCCTGGCGGAACTTAGGGCGATCGGTTTGTCGTTCGCGGCCAGCACCGGCGTGCTCAGGCCAGTACAGGCACGAGAGGTGCGGGGCCTGGCTAAACGACTGGTTGGCTCGACGGACCTCCTTGGACAGGTTTTCCGGTGGGAAGGGGAGGACTACCTCGTCAACGACATCGCACCGGGGCCGACACAGTCGGGGGGGCAGGCGCTGAAGGCGTACGCCTGCTGTGTGAAGAGGCGGGTGGCATCGGCGGGCCCGCTGTCTGAACACAACTCGGCCTTTGATATCCGGGCGGTGCGGGACCGAATCGAGAAGGACCGGGCGAGGGGGGAGGCGACGCGACTACTGGGCAATTTACGGCCTGATGCGGAGCGGGAGGGGGGAGAAGCGGGGCCGTCGGCGAATCCGGGCCCTGCCCCCCCCCCCTCCCGAGGGGAGACGAGAGCTAGGCCCCCCCCCACGAGCGGGGTGGACGGCCGACGCGTGGAACCACGGCTGGAACGGCCGCAGGGGCAGGGGGCATCCCCCGGGGCCCCACCCCAGGAGTTGCGGCGGCCGGCGCCGCCACCAGGCCCGCCCCCACCACCACCGCCTCCGCCCCCGCCGCTGGAGCGACCGCTGGGTCGAGGAGCCGCCCCTGAGGTTCCACACCAGGCGGTGCGGCCGCCAGTGCCGCCATCGTTTCCGCCACCCACACTGCCACTTCCGCCCCCGCCACTGGAACGGCTGCAGGGTCGTGGGGCCGCCCCAGCGGCTCCACACCAGGCGTTTGGGCCGCGAGGGCCGCCACCGTACCCGCCGCCCCTGCCACCGCCTCCACCCCCGCCGCCGACGGGGCCGCCACCGTATGGACCCGCTCGGAATAACCGGGGGGACCCGAGACCGCCCCGCCGGAGGCTGGTGTACCCGGGAGGAGGAGCTGGGGGAGGGGAGTTGCCGCAATACGATAACGGACCCGCCGGCGAGCCGGAGGGCCGAGGCCGGAGGGCCCCGGGGGGGGCTTGGGGTCAGCTGTCGGAGGAGGCGAGAGATGAGCAGCAGAGGAGCTGCTCTCCAGGCTTCTGTCGCAAAGAGCTGCATGCCACCGAAAGCGCTGTCGAGGTTCGCCGAGCGCGGCGCAGGTTGGAGGACACCGTCACCGACGAGCGCGTTGGAGTATTCACTCCGGACAAAGACGGGTAGACGCACACGAGCCGCGGTCGTCTACCCGTCATAGCGGCGAGGCGCGGGACCGTCTGTGGCGAAGTGGGTCGCGTCCTCCGA